TAATTATAAGAGCATAAGCTCATGATTTAAAAGCAAGGTGGCCGGGGGGTCCTTCCTGGAGCCCAGAGCTGATCGAAGCCAGCTGAGGCCATCGAGTGTGAACCTTTATCTCTGCTGACATGACATATTATTAAAAAGCATTTCGAGTCATCTTTTCTTTCCTCTGCATCCCAACACGTTTCAAGAAGTTGGCCGGGGATCAACCAAGCCTTTTTCATTTCCTACAATGAAAAAAAAATCACCCAACACCAAACAAACCAAAGCCCGAAGTCCGACCGAGATGATCTAATCAGCAACGTTTTGAGGGTTTAGGGAGAATTAATATGTCAGAGAAAGGTTTTCAGGGGACTTCAGGGCTTAAAGCTGTCAGTCTAAAGACTGACTCAGACCCTTCTTGGGCTTTGTAATATTATGGTCTTTACCCAATGATGTTGTGTCACTTACTACCATGGTCAGAAGACTGAGGAAATAATCATTTGGCACTTATGGTCTTTACCCAATGGTGTGTTGGTTGTGTCACTTATTACCACGGTCAGAAGACTGAGGAAATAATCATTTGGCATGAAGTTCAGAATAACTAACTCAATTTTCAAGCAAGTGTTACACAATATGCCAGAAATGTTTGCTTAACTTGAAAACCATCTTTTAATGCTGTCCATTAATCCCTTCAAGCACACAGGTAAATTCCAAACACAGCCTTTCCTGCCCACTTCTTGGGGCAAACTCCAGGACATTTCATTGTGCTCGAGCTGCTCGAGATCTTGCTGAGATTTATTTTGCATTTAGCAGAACAAAACCAACCCAAAACCAAAGCCCAAAGCAAACCAAACCAAACCTGACTTGTGGATAAGGGCTAGGATTTTAATATCATCAGCATTTAATACTTCTTTTTTTATGTCTCCACCTGAGATGTCACAGATTTAAAGCTGCAATTCTAAATTTGGTGCTGGGACATTTTCAGTTTGTTCTTTGTTTCACAATTTGTGAGCAAAGAAACAATCTATTTTAATTTTATTTTCAAATCCCAGCCTATTTGCTAGTCCTGTTTGAAGCACAAATGAAGGTGCTGCCTCACATCTCCTGGGGATAAACCTGGCACAGAGGAGATGGGAGCTCTAATAACCCAATGTGCAAATATTGTCATTTTCTAGGAAGAAAAAAGTAAATGCATGAGTGAGACAGTGTGACACAAACAGCTGCCACCAGCAACACAGGAAAAGGGTGGGAAGTTTGTTACAGGAGGAAGGTAAAGTTAAAATAGACCAGTTTGTAGCTGCTCTGGCTAAGAAAAGAGGCTGCAACTGGAGCTGATGGGACCTTCAGCTGAATAACCCTTCTGTGGGTGGCCCCACAACCAACTGGAACCAACTGGAAGCAAACCAGTCTGGGGTCTGTGGGAGCTGGAACTTGCAATATTCTAGTTGAATTCATGTAAATGTAACTACCACTTCAGACGAGTCGTTAGCCAATTACCTATGAACAGATTAACAAATATTTCTTCTTCCTAACACCTGAACCTTTTCAATAAACCTCCTGAAGACAAAGTAACTCTTGGCAGAAACCCCCTGTGGTAGCTCCTAGCAGTGCTCAGGAGATTGGTTTCCCACAAGTTCTCAAATGTCCAGTCCCCCAGCAAAGCTTTAATTTCATTCTCCACCTTCTTTTCCCCAGAATGAACTTTGGGAAACCTCTGCTCTTCCACCCCAACATGGTGTCACAGCCTGGACTTTCTGTCCCCACTGGGCTGTGGCACCTCCTGCAGTGTCCAAAGCAGGAGGTGATGGCAAAACTCAGCCCATCCTTGCTCTCAGCAACACCCCAAACTCATTTCATGGCAAAAAGAAAGGACAGATTTGGGGAAGGAATGGCCAGATTCTAGTTGTGCACAGCTGGTGTTGAAGTCTCTGAGCTGGTTGACCTCCTAAGGAGGTTCTTCACCACAATGTGCACTGTATTAATTAAAGATATATTAAAATAAATCTCTGTTATGTTATTTCATACTCGAGTCCCCCCCAAAAAAGGCTGCACTGGGAGTAGGATTAAACTTGAAGGAAATGATTCAGCAAAGTAAAACCAATATAAACAGCATTTGGGGAGAGTTAAATCAAATTAGAGGACTGGAATCACTTTGTGATGAAGAGGAGGGGCTAGTGGGTTTCTCCACCACAGCTGGGGAAGTCGAGGAAGGGTCAGTGATGTCCAGTTGGTGGGGTAAGAATGAGACCAGCACGTGTATGTGCAGTGCCAAGGTGTGACATGACACCACAGGGACCCCCATCCAGCAGCTCTGCCTGGAGACACGAGCCCCGTGGAGATCTTTCCCAACCCAGCCAACGTGGCTGGGGCTGCTTAACAGGGGCTTCTTTCAAATATCTCCCTGCAACCTCAACTTATTTCCTGGAAAAGCAAGATTTCTTGGCTCTGGGCTGTGAGGAACATTTTTAAGGTCAGCTTTCCCAGCTCCTGGCTTTTGGCTGGTGGTTGCGTGTGAGGCATGAGAGTGAGGAGAAGCTGCTCCATCCATCCCTTCTCCAGCTTCTCCCCTGGTCAGCCTGGCCATCCCACTGACCAGCTTTCCCACCTTCATCGTGGCTTCTCCAGAGCTGAGAAATAAGACCAAGACCCAGCCCCTTCCTCCTCTAAGTAAAGGGAAAAAAATCCTGCCGTGTTGAACTTTTCTCATCATGCTTAAAGAAAATACTTAAAGAATGTGTAATAACAGGGGATTTGGAGAGAGCAAAATTAACCAGATGGACAAAGCAGGGAACCTTTAGAATGCCACCAAAATGTAGCCCCTCCAGCTTTGTGGAAGGGAAGAGCTCTGAGGGATGAGAGGGTGACCCTGTGTGAGCCCTGTGAAGTGTGGGACCCCCTGTCCCCAGGGCCACCCCTGCTCTTCTCCCTGTCCCCAGGGTCACTCCTGTTCTTCTCCCTGTCCCACCCCTGCTCTTCTCCCTGTCCCCAGGGCCATCCCTGCTCTTCTCCCTGTCCCCAGGGTCACCTCTGCTCTTCTCCCTGTCCTCAGGGCCATCCCTGCTCTTCTCCCTGTCCCCAGGGCCACCCCTGCTCTTCTCCCTGTCCCCAGGGTCACTCCTGTTCTTCTCCCTGTCCCACCCCTGCTCTTCTCCCTGTCCCCAGGGTCACCTCTGCTCTTCTCCCTGTCCCCAGGGTCACTCCTGTTCTTCTCCCTGTCCCCAGGGTCACTCCTGTTCTTCTCCCTGTCCCACCCCTGTTCTTCTCCCTGTCCCCAAGACCAATTCTGTTCTTCCCCTTCTGGAGAACAGGGAGGGAAAAACCTGACTTCTCCATTTAGCTGCCAGGGAAACCTCACAGAAGTGAAATTAAAAATAGTTCTGGGGAAGCTGATACCAGGTTATTCAATATTCCCAGGCAGAGGACAAGCTGGGCAGAGCCAGGGCTGTGTCTCCTGTGCTCCCACCCTCAGCACTGGGAGCATCCCCAGGGCTTGGGGACCCTTCTGAGGGTTTGTGAGCTCTTTTGAAGGCAACAACCTGAAGGCAAAGAGCCCTTTTGAAGAGCGAGGTGATGCTGTTTTTACAAAATGCAGCCCAAATTCTGGTTTGCTTCACCTGGAACAGTAACTGGTACCTTGAGGCAGCCCCTCAGGGCTGGGGTACAGGTCCTTTGGTGGCCTCCATCACATCAGCTGCTCTGAAAGCTGCAGGTTTATCTGTTGTTCATGCAGAAATTGTAGGGTTTTGGGGGCTTTCTTCTACCTCACCAAAGCCTGGTGTCTGCAATAAGCTTTGGTCCCTCCATGGCTGGGCTTGGAGAAGGTGGGTGCAAACAAGCCACGATGCTTGATCCCACCCACATGGATTGTGGCTAATTATTTGCATAAATACCAATAGAGAGGGATAAAAATCCGAGTTTGAAGGGGTGATGCATTGAAGAGAAGAGCAATAAGGGGAAAGGTTTGCAAAGAGGCTTTCACTCAGCTTCAGAGCACCCATTTTTTGAGTGGGCTTGGGTGGAGGAAGAGACTTTTGAAACAAAACAGAGAAGATACAATCTTCTTCTTCCCAAAGATCTGCCAATACAAATATCTGTCAGCAGAGATGTAAAAGAATAGCTTGAAAAACAAGGAAAAGAATCCCATGAAATATTCTAAGGAGGGTGATGTCACCCCCCAACCAAGCTTTCTATGCTTTGTATTTGTAATGAAAACCTCATGACCTCGCCAAGCAAAGCTGGGTGAAACTCTGCTCTTCCAGCCTCCCCTTAGGGATGAGGGATATTATTTTCTGGTTTTAATTTTCAAGTAATAAATAACTGTGATTGACTTGCCACCCCAGAGCACCGAGCCGTGCAGGGTAAGGAGACACAACCTTGGGCATGTTCATGTACAGGTTGGTGCTGCACAAAGTCTGCCCAAGGTGCCCACGGGTGGCTGTGGGGGGAGCAGAAGAAAAGCAGCTTGAGCTGGATGGGTCCACAAGCTTCAGCTTCAGGAGGGATTTCAGCTCAGAGAAGAGGAAGATCAGTCTCCATGGTGTTATCTCCCTTCCCAAAGTTTCCTTCTGGCTGCACTGGGTCACAGCCTGTGGACTGACAATTACACACCCCAACCCCAAACCTTCTTTTTCAGCCAGGGAAACGAAAACCAGGCAATGATTTCATACGTGCAACAGTTCAACCTGTGCCTTCCTCTTGTTTGCAAGTGTGGACAGTCCTGCTGAGATCCAAGAACGACTGCAAACCATCACAATTAACAACCAACCACCTGGCCTGGTGGCTCAACACATCCCATGGCCATAAATTCAAATCCCAGCCAACTTTTGCAGGGGATTTGCTCTGCAAAACAAGCTCCATCCTCCCAGTGACGTGAAAACAAGGTGAGGTGGGGAAGGCTGGTGGGAGAGTTGGGAAGTGGCTCTGGTCAAGTATCCATTGACTTTAAGCATCCCCCTCCCCAGCTCTTGGTGCCCCATCCCACAGCTGAGGTCCCTGAGTCCTTCCCCAGGGTCTGCCACCCCCACCCCACCCTCTCCCTGCAGTTTTTCTCCATCAGCCTCCTCAGTCCAGCATCCAAGGCTCTGTGGACACTCTTGGGGTTCACCAGAGCCATCGTGGAGCTGGACAAGTACTTACCAGCTGGAGTTGTCTGTCTAAGGTCTCCAGGACCAAAGAGGCTCAAGCCTGTAGGTGTTAGAGGAATGATCTTCCTATATGAAATGTAAAATCCTGTGCTCCAGCTGGGCTTGCTGGGATCTGCAAAGAGTTTTTCCAGCCTTGGTTGGAGCTCATGCTGCAAAATGGGGAGATCTGAAGGGATCAAAAGAGGTCTCCTTGTTATGTGCAACACATGGATTTCAGCTCATTTCCATGGTTTTATTTTTCTTTACATAGACTGCAATTTCAAATTAGGAGGATGGAGATAGGATCCTTGAGGAGGAGGCAGAAGAGACCCTGGCAGGGCCCTGAATTCCTGACAACTGCCTCCAGGAACCATGACCCCCAGGAACTCTAATCAGGCCCTTGATCTGGAACATCTACCTACATGATCACCCTCCCCTGCCAGTCCTGACCAGAAGGCTGAGTTCTGATTGCAGCTCATGCACACAAAAATTGCCTCTCCCTAACCTTCAGGGCCTGGAACCAGCAGCTGAACCTGATTCAGGCTCTGCAGGAAGTTTTATCCATCACAAAGTTGTGTCTTTTTCACCCACCTGGTTGTGCTTGGGGATGATGTTCCCTCTCAGGGCTGCTCAGGGCTGCCTATGCCCATCAGTCCTGAGAGTCAAAATCTGCAGAAGTGCTCTGTGGGGAACTCAGTGGACATTTGACGTTGAAATATAATTGGTAATTCATCAGCAATCCTCTGCTTGGAGGCTTTGTACTGAGCGTGGCATCAAGCCAAGGGCCAGGACAGGTTCTGCTTCTCCTACAACAGGGCCACCAAAGGCAGGTGGTTGGATGGCTCCTGCACTACCAGGAGAAGTGGTCTGGGTTGAGAAAAACCCCTTTGAAAAACCCATCTCACCCCAGAACATAAACCATGTCCTGTGCCACTGATGATGAGTCTTGAATCCTTTTCTGTTTTGCTCCAAGTCCTGCAGAGGTTCCCCAGACCTGATGGACACAGGAGATGCTCTTGTTGGCCAGAGCCCCAGCCAAAAGCAGCAGCCCTTGGGGACACCCCTTGGGTTCCCACACCCCTGGGCTTCTCCCTTCCCCCCCTTTCCCCCTTCCCAGGACAGGAAGACCCCCCAGCAAACAGCACATGTAGGGGCAGGGGAGTTTCTCTAAGCTGCAGAGAGATGGACTCCATTTGCATCTGGATTTCTGCCTGTGCTCGTGCATCTGCTCGTTTTTATTGTCCCACATTCCACAAACTTCAAGCACTTCCATATCTACCAGATTGAATGCAGCTCCCTGAACAGTGGGACACAGCTCAGCACCCATGGCACCAAACCCTTCTGCTCTGCACATCCTGCTGGTGCCTGTCCTGACTGACCCCAGGGACAGCAAATTCAGGAATGACTGAGGAGCTGGGAAGGCTCCAGATCCAGAACTGTTTTGCTGTCGGAGACCAGAGGACTCCAAAGTGGTTTATTTCATGTACTTTCAGGAGGGGTTTTGTGAGCATCACTCACCTGCCACTACCCACCCTGTGCCCTCCTCCCAGCATCTCAGGGTGAGTCGGAGCATCCCACTGGGAAAAGGGCTTAGAAGATGCTGCCAGTTCTCCCTGCCTGATGGAGGAAGCCAACAGATGGGAACCCTCCAGCTCCCCAGAGCTCAATGAGCAGCAGATGATGAATCCCAGTTGCCTGGGAGAGATCCTTTCCCCTCCTGAAAGACCAGGCCCAGCTCTGAGGTCGCTGGCAGCCACGTAGCTCCCCTAGTGTGGCCCTGCTTGGCCCAGCTCAAGGGGGTTTGGATTACTGGAATGTGGAGGTAAGAGGATTGAAAAATCTGTTACCCTCCAATTCCTATAAGGCAGGGTACAGCCACGAGGTGAGGAGTGATTCTGTGCTCCAGTAAATCAGAGGGAATCAATATTCCAGAGGCAACACTGGGATTTTTTTTTATCCCGCGTAATTCGTATCAACCATAAAAGGCAAATGGGAAGGATGAAAAGATTAATTAAAAAAATGTTACTGTCTCCGTGGCTGGAAAATAAAATTGAATGATAGAAAAGAAGGGATGAGATTTGTGCCCCAGAGCTGGGGAAGGCAGACACAGCCTGCAAACTTCTGTTACCTCCTGCACGAACTCACCCGAGCCTGAAAACCCTCCCAGTTTGTTTACTTTCCCAAAAATCAGGAACACATTGGGAATTATTTGCAAGACCAAAAGAAAAAAAAAAAAAAAAAACAGAAAAAAAAAAAGAGAAAAGCTTTCATTTATCAACCAATTCATTCGACAAATAATATTAAGTACCTTCCACTACCAGGAATGCTGCAAACCTCAGGCTGGGATTTCACCCGTGTCGGAGTCGTCGCTGCCGCCGGAGCTCTCGGACAGATTCTCAGTCGTAAAGTTAAGTAGTTGGATGCTTAAAGGGGGAAAAAAAAGTTCAATTAAAAACCTAGAATGCTTTCTGGCTTGACTTCTGAGCCTGCCATCGCGTTTCAGATCCCTGCAATCAAGTGTGGTTGGAGAAAAAGGCTATTTTTTAGCTTTCACATTTTATTTCCCTTCTCTTGCATCTCGAATGCATCTGTCAACCAGGTTCCCCTCCCCTCTTGCTGGGTTTGAGAGCAGGGAGGGGACAGGGCTACTGTTATTTATTATGAAAGGCTAAAGGAACTGGCAAAAAAAAAAAAATGGGGCAGGTGATAACGACTGCAATTTTATCTGTATTAATATTTTAAATGATAAGAAGTGGAAGTGAAGGGAGTCCGCCCTGTGCCCGCTGCCTCAGGGCATCACCAGAGCTGCACCCACAGCTTGTGAAAGCAAACTGCAAATTGTACTCAGTGACAGCCTCAGTATTTAGCATTTATTCAATGATTTGCCTTCTCCTGGTTTGGCTCTGGTTGCAGTTTGTGCAAAACTTGCACTGGTTCAACCCTTGCACCTGTGGGTTTGTCCAGAGCCTGAGAGATACAATTGGCAAAGCCAATTATCAGCCTCAGTGCTTGAGCAGCAAGAGGGGAGGGGGTTTCCCTGCAAGGTACAGTCCTGGGTCACATCCCCCAACCATCTTCTCCTTGGTCTTCAAAGTTTCTGCAGATAATTCTGAGACAAAAAGGAAAACCAGCAACTCATCCCAAATAACTTCACTGCTGGGGAAAAAAAAAAAAAGCCTTTTCGTTCTTGTGTCGAATTAACAGTTTTGGAAGAGGCTGATGGGGGGGGGAGGGAAGTCAGGGATGTTCAACCTCAGCCTTTACACCCTCCTCCATCCTCCAGGCAAAGGGAACCAGTATCCAACCCTGCCTGGCACCACCCTGGGGCCTGTTTTCAGTGTTTTCAAGTGTTAAACCACTGAAAACTACACTTTTCCCAAGTATTTTCCCTCCCCTAGAGGGTGAATTTCAGCAAGGGGACTGAGGAAGGGTTTGGTGGGGCAGGAGAGGACACCCAGGCTGGGTGTGGGATGCACCAGCTGATGGGAGCATCCCCCAGACCCAGGCAGGATGGATTTACTTGAGAATGAAATAGCAAAAAGACACCATTCCAGGGCTCCTCAGGCAAACCCACGTGTTCCATCCTCCTGTGTCACCTGGAGCACATCAAGAAGAACATTCTGAGCAGGCTCTGATGGTCACTCCTTCCTCTTGGACTCATGTCGGGTGGAAATGGTCTCCTCTGAAATCCAGGAGGTTGCTCCATAAGCCAATCTGGAATGATCCCTAAATTCCTGAGCCCTCTGGCATCAGAGGGAGCTTTGGCCCTGCTTGCTGGGCAGCCAGGATTTGGTGTTGGGTGGACAGAGGTTTGGAAACCTGGCAGAACCCTGGGGCACAGATGAACCAGCAGCAATTGAGGATGAAATGTTTGTTACCCCACTTGAAAAAAAACCCAACAACACCACCCCTGCAGCCACAGAAATGGGAGAAAATTGGGCTTTGCAATCAACCCCAGCTCTAAAAAAAGAGCTGCAAACAGAGAAGTATTTAAAACCCTGTTTAAATAGAGATTATTTTTTTAATATGCCTTTTATTTTTATTTTTTTTAAAAGCCATATCAGTTTACATTTCTAATGTTGGGATCATCCAGCACTTTAAATCAAATTATAGCTGCACCAGGCTGCTTAACAATGTTTCCTTTTAATTAGGTTTACTAGTCCCACATGCATTTTTTTTTTTTTTAAATCATAAAAAAAAATAGATTAAACAAACTTAATTCAATTACACGAGAGGGGTTAGGTAAGACAGCAAAAAGCCCAGCAAAATAAGGATTGATAAATCATTAATATACTCACGTTTTGCCCCTTTTCCTAAATCCTGGAGCCTTCCAGCCAGGAGGAGGTGACATTTCCTGGTGGTGTGTCAGAGCACACGGAGCCCTCTGGCATTTCCTCTTATATATCTCTATATATATCTATCTATATAGATATATCTACTTTCATGGAGAATTTAAACAGCTTGGAATGCTCCTTGGAAAACTCAGCATCAAGGAATTCCCACTAATTTCCCTCTGCAGCAGAGCCAGGAGCAGGGCATGGGGTGCAGGTGAAGATCTGCCCACCTTGCTGGATCAGTCCCAGTAGTCAGAGCTCCTGAGGGTCCCTGGAATATCTCCCCCCCCAGAACCAGTGGAGACCTCAGGGAGTTCAACCACCTTCCTGTGGGCCCAGCATCCCTCCCTGCAAGGTTTGGGGTTTATTTCATTGCAGAAATCCCAGCAAAATCAGGATGGTGGGGTGTTTTTTTTTGCTTCGCACCAATTCCCTGTTCTCCTGGAAGGCCCCTGCTCTGTCACAGCTTCCAAGGAAAAGGTGGTTACATTCTTACTGAGGAAAAGTTCATTAAAAAATAGGGGATGAAGGGGAGGAAGTGAGAAGGGGGTGGGCAGCAGACCTGGGGGAATTCCTGGTTTTCTCAGCTCGTCTGAGCACACATCTCGAAGAGATGCTGTGGGAGCTGGGATGAGCTCCTGGGAGGGCATCCCATG